ACCACGCAGCATGCAAGCCGGCACAACGTAAACTGAAGCCTGCTCAGAATTTGAAAAAGAAACATCATGCAGAAACTTTATTTATTCAAAAGAACAGATCAGTATTCTGGCCAGGAAATTTCCTTGAAGATTGCTCGAGTCAGTACCGGGTAGACTGTGCTTCAGAGAATTGTTTGTCGCATCGATAGGTTAAATTTTATTTGTAACTGCCATTGTAAACTTCAGCTCCTTTGAGCGCGATGCTGTAATAAATTCTCCTTTGGTAATTAGCTTCACAGCGTAGCGGATGTTTTGTTGGAACCACTTTATAGATCAGTCATAGTTTTGGTTCTCCTCTGGCCTGGGTTCTCCTCGTGAACCTAGCGAAGCTTATCAATTGCGAGTCTTATAATTTGTGTTTACAGTGCGACCGAGCGCGGCACAAGTAGTTCTCGACAGATCAGTGAAATACATGTAAAACCCTTCTCAGTCAAAGCAACGCTGAAATTCTCCTTTAAAGCACAGTGAATATAAGCCAACTCGATAATCTCAAAAGCAGAAGCTGCTGAACCGAAACATGTTTGGAAACCATCCACATCGAGCACTGCGATCGACATTCACTTTGCGCGTGGTGAAGATTACTGATCATGATGTGTCACGTACGCAGTGATAATATAACATGAATCGAGGTGCATCATGGGATACTATTCGATCGTCGTCTGGGGTGTAACCGCCCGGTTTACATTGATATGTAAACGGCGGTGACGCAATCATCGATGTAGTTGCATGCGTGTTACTATAAGTCTCAGTGCATGCAATCATTTATGTCGGCGTATGGGGCGTGTAGTCAGCGATGTAGTCAGCGAACACTTTGTTAGATAGAGCACTCCACATTTTAAATGTAATCCATTTTGGTACAAAGCGCGCCCGTTAATATCAGTAAATGTGCTAAGGTATTTGTCAGATAATAGTCAATTGTATTTTATATTTCGTAACGCAAGTTGCATAGATAATATAGATCACGTACTGAATTTAGGGAAACAAAGAACAATTTTGGCTAGATTTAGAGCTATTTAGCGTTATGTATAAAGGAAGAAACGTCTCCGAGGGAAAGAAGTGAAGGAAGTTTGGTTGGGACTGTGCTGCTAAAACCCTTCGATTATAACCCTGTTAAAGGCAAAATGCATTTAAACTGCAGCCCTGCGTTAAGACGCTAAATAGTGAGATTAAATACTTTTTTTTAAGATTGAAGATCCCATAAACCTATACCATGCAGAGCGGCATATGCCGAGTGAGCCAAACATGGATTAAAGCGCGTGTGTCAATCTGTAAACTCCCAAGGGAACCATCTTCCATATATGGTGTAGTGGCGAAGAAACAATGCATTTGTTATTGACGACTTATCGCATAACTAGCTAATTTCAGTTGCGTGCGTGGTAGAATTTTTCAGAGCAGTTTTCCAAAATATACATAAGTGTACTTGTCAACCGAAGTTTTCACGCTAAAGAACAATTTCACTACAGCATCGTTCGTAAGTAATACTAAATTTTCAGTGATTCCGATACAAATCACTTGACTGTATGTATTCAACTCATACGTGTTGATCTTTATACAGATCGATAGTTTCACCGTCCATTTATGGAAATTTACATGCTTCCTCTAAAACCGCTCTCGAGTTGTTAAGTCGGTCCATACATGGACATATTTTGAGTATTTTTTTATTTGTTTTTATTTTTATTTTTGTTTTTTGTTTTTGTTTTTTTTGACGGGGGGGGAGGGGGCAATGTATCTAACCCTATCCTGGTTTCGATAATTCCTTCTTTCGCTCCAAGTTCAGCTTTTCTTTCTTAACACAATTAAGTTAAGACTTTTAAGAAATCGACCTCTTTTTATCAGTAATACGGGGTCAAATTGTGTCAGTTACTCTGACTAGCTGTCTAGAGGGGGCGTTATGATCGACCCAGGTAAGTGAGCGAAAAGATAAAACCGGGCGACATTGAATGACTTCGTGAAAGTCTAAATTGAGTCCGGCCGTTGACAAAAATTAACCAGGTTAAACTCCTTTAACCAGGTTATGTTCTGAAGAATTTCTTTACCGGGTTTTTCAAAAACTGACCCGGTTACGTAACTTGCAAAGTGCGGCCGCGGCCAAAACATAAAATTATATATTCATCATACAGTTTTTTTCAGTTAGTGGAAATATCGTTATCGCCAGGCAGGTTGCTTCTTTACGCAAAAGAAATAAGAGATTATAACGACAATAACGATGAATAAGTATATAAAGGGACAAACTAATACTAGCTTCAAATGGTAATTTATGTCACCAGCTAGTAATTAGGGATTTTTTTACTGCACGCATGCACACTTTCAACATAATAGGCGTGCTAGGACATAGGTAGCCTATACCAAACGACAAGTTAGATTCACATAAAAAAAAGGTTACCTCAGTACCAAAACCACTTCTCATATATAACACTTAAGAGGAACTGTATTCTAAAGCATTCTGTCGTCTACCCTTTGACTCATGCCGGAGCAGTCTGGAGGTGTACAGTCTGAACTGTACTTACTAATGCTGTTTAATTAGAAAAAGAGACAAAGACGAGCCACACACAGACTAAGAAACCAATCTGTTATCAGCCAAGGTCAGAGTTCATTATGTAAAGGAAACTTAGTTACTTAGTTCGCATTCTCCTGCAAGGACATTTTGCGTGTAACATTACTTAAAAGAGATGCTTTATGGTTCCTTACCGTACGCGTGTTGCTGTCGCGTGTTGAGTCGACTGGAGCCCAAGATATAGTACCATACAGAAAGTGAGAAGCTTCCGCTATCAAAAGCCACTGCAGGACAGCAGCCTGAAAGAAAAGACACGAAACAGCAGTCGAACTTGCCATGTTGCAGATTTTACGCTGTCTCGCTTTTAGTCTTTCGTGTTCCGCCTTAAATTAACTTTCTGGCCTCACTCTGAAAGTATTCGAGGGAGTGTCCTACATTGTGTTGTATGCAAATATCTCGTGTCACTGCGTGTCACTCAAAATCACTAAAATGAACAATGCATACCAACCTAAGTCAAATGAACCCTAAAACCACCTTTTTTTGCAAAATATACCGATTAAAACATCAGTAGTAGCGAACGTCACGAGAACTCAATAGCCTATCCAAATTCCTTTATTTCATTATTTTGATAACCCCAGTTTCTTCCAGTCTTTGTCAGTCAAAATCGTCAGACATTGCTTCTGAAAACGAGAAAAAAGTAGAAGACTGTAGAGCCTTCTAATGAAGTCCCATTTGTTTAATAGGCTTGAATGTCCATTTCTCCATTTATTAGTATATATCATTTAAATACTTATAAATGCATTTTGTCGCTAAAAGGTCATTTCTTTTTTGCCCATTTCTCCGTTTATTAGTATACATTATGTAATTTAATAAATTTGTTTCTTTAACTTTCACTGTTAAAGCTTTTTGCTAAAAATATTTTTACTAGTACTAGTAAAGTTTTTTGAATACTTTGCAAACATCTGATGACCCTGCCAGCCCAACTTAAAACATCAGTGTATGCCCCGGGGTGGCGTTTTGTGTGTGGGAGTTACGGAACACTTACTTCTACTCTCTCGGATTTTTAACAAGGAAAAAGATGCGGCGAAGCCGGTTAAGTGCCGAGTTATCGTTATGTATAAGGGAAGATACTTCTCCGGGGAAAGATTTAAAGGAAGTTTGGTTGGCGTTGTACTGCTAAAACCCTTCGATTGTAACCCTGTTTAAGGCAAAATGCATTTAAATTGAAGGTCTTTTTTAAGACGCTAAATAGTAAAATTGAATACTTTTTTAACATTGAAGATCCCATAAACCTATACGAGTACCGCCAAACATGGACTAAAGCGCGTGTGTCCATCTGTAAACTCAAAAGGGAACCATCCTCCATATATGGTGGTGGCGAAGAAACAATGCATTTGTTAATGACGGCGTATCGTCAACTATCACGGCTAATTTCGGTTGGATGCGTTTACATGCGTGATAGATACGGAGGCGAAGAAACAATGCATTTGTCCGTTGACCGCATATTTTCAAGACATCATAGCATAACTAATTTCAGTTGCGTGCGTCGTATAATTTTTCAGAGCAGTTTTGCAAAATATACACGTGTACTTGTCAACCAAAGTTTTCACGCTTAAGAACGATTTCACTACAGTATCGTTCAAAAGTAATACTAAATATGCAGTGATTCTGATATAAATCACTTGTATGCATTCAACTCATTACGTGTTGATTTTATACAGATCGATAACTTCACCGCCTATTTATGAAAACTTACATGCTTCCTGTAAAACTTAACCGCTCTCGAGTTATAAAGTGGGTCCATACACGGACATATTCTGAGTATTTCTGTTTTTTTCTGTTTTTTTTTGGGGGGGGGGGGGGGGGGGTCACATTTTTTTCAATAGGCATGGTCTGAAAGTGTAAAAGATGAAACGTGACCTAGGACGTCAAAAAATTATTACGTAGAAAACAACAGACTCTAGTGTCAGGATCTCAAAAGATCGTGTAAATTATCATGAATTTCAGGAAAATACCTAAATTTTTCAACAATAACATTATTTCGTCAAAGGGATAATATAAACGTTAGCAAAAAACAATGGTAAAGGAAAAAATTGAATAGTATTTCTTAATGCGCTTTAAATTCTAAATATCTGCATGGTTAAAAGAATTAACATTATCCGACTAAACAATAAGAACCAATGACATATCTTAAGATTTTACTAACAACATATTTTTTTTCCGAGTTTTGTGGCTCACAGCTTCTTTGATCTTACGATAACAACCAGTCGGTGTAATCATCCCTTAGCTATGGTGAACAAAGTAAGAATAGTACGGTCGGTGTTCTCCGTGCTTTGGGGTGTAACCGCCGGGTATACATTGTTATGTAAACGGCGGTGACGCAATCATCGGTGTAGTTGCATGCGTGTTACTATAAGTCTCAGTGCATGCAATCATTTATGTCGGCGTATGGGGCGTGTAGTCAGCGATGTAGTCAGCGAACACTTTGTTAGATAGAGCACTCCACATTTTAAATGTAATCCATTTTGGTACAAAGCGCGCCCGTTAATATCAGTAAATGTGCTAAGGTATTTGTCAGATAATAGTCAATTGTATTTTATATTTCGTAACGCAAGTTGCATAGATAATATAGATCACGTACTGAATTTAGGGAAACAAAGAACAATTTTGGCTAGATTTAGAGCTAGGCGTCACAATAGGGTTTCGCAAGCCAAGAATTAACCGCAGCATTATTGTATTTCTCTTTTGTCAAAGTATAAGTCATTGCGTATTAAGAGCTGTAGTTTAGAACGGAAAAGACATTGAGAGTGTAACGTTGAACACACTTTGAGAGAGAATAAACGCACTTAGTGGAATTGAAAGATACCGTCCCTGATAGTAAACCAGCGCAAGGAAATATTCCCGAACAGTATTTGCTCCGCCAAGTCATAAAACTTTGAAAGAATTTTGCATGGTTAGGGGCACAAATTGCCCCAGTCATACAAGCGCGTTTATAAATTTTCTCAATTTTTCATAACTATATCCTCGTTCAATTTGTTAACCTATCGACCCCCCTTGACGACGTAAGTAATGTTAACAAAGGCGCTCCTAAGAGCAGTGTCAATGGATTTTCGTCAGCTGACAAGTTTATGATAAACTTGTCAAACGTCGGAAGGAAATAAGAAAACAAACAAATTAAAAACTAATAGTAAGGAAAGTACTAGTAAGGGTCCCGTGGTCGGTGTTTCAGTTGGTTTCACTCAAATTGGAAACTAGTAAGCCTTCGCTACGAGATGGTCCTCTCTCGGTGTGTACGAGTAAAGAGGCCCCCGGGCATTCCACAATGGTATAGCTTATTTCTCATAATGGACGCGATATTCTCTGTAAATCAGAAAGATCTGTTTAAGCCCTGAAAATGGGGCCGTTTTGGTGAGTAAAACTGAAACAGTCCTTAAATTGTGAGTCTTATTAACTAGGGCTGAAATGACTGTAGGGGGGACTGAATCACACTTTGGCCTGCTTGCAGGGCCGAGTTGGCATTTTTGGGCTGAAATAGATCTTTAAAATTTTCATATAATTCTGGGGTCTATTGCTCTTAACTATAGGTTTCGCTTTAAAATGTATTCTCAATGCATGGTGAGTATTTTATTGATTATAAGTCAGGATAACTACTAACATTAACTGCTTTTTTTTACCATTGCAATATGCAGTTAGCTATAAACAACTGGCCAAAACTGTATATCAAGAGTTTTGTCAAAAGTAATGTCATTTCCTTAGTATAAGAAGGCCCACAATTTGATATTTTTTTAGAAGGCGTCTTCCTTTTCAATCATGTCGTCCTCCTGGATGTAGGCGTTTCTTCGGCTCATTTTCTCATCCTTTGCAGTATACAAATCCCCAACCTTGTTCCTGTTCATGAATTTTCGTGCGAGGCGGTACTTAACAGCTAAAACAGCTAGGGCTATGATAGCAATCAGGGCCAGTCCACCACCTGCCGCTGCACCACCGATAAAAGCAATATTTTGACTTTGCCCAGTACCTACGACATGGAAAATTTCCGTTAGGGACTTGTCAGAAATTAAATTAGCAGGGGGGGGAGGAGTGAAATTTGCTAACCCTCCCCTTGACCTTGGCCTAAAATATCATGACCCTCCCCCTCTTGTAAAAATGATAAAATCTAATTCTTGCAATACACTAGGGTGAGTCAGTATTATGAAAGCTCAAAATATATTTCTGCATGACCCTCCCCCTTTTAAAGGCCTATTTTTCATGACCCCTCCCTTTCCTGCAGTCTCAAAAAGTTTTGACCCTCCCTCTGTTTCCACCCCCCTCCCCCCCTGCTAATTTCCTGACAAGTCCCTTAGTCAGTGTTAAAAGGGTCCAGTCGCCGTAGGAAAACTGACTAAGAAAGATAACAGGCCATAAAATGCTAAAACTTCCCTGAAGTTGTAAGAACAGCATTCGTCACTTTAGAAACGCCAAGAAGGATACTGGGACGAGTCAACTTTCGCAAAGACTCCTGGGACTGTTTCTTGCAAAAAATATAAAACGGCAAACTGATCCTTACGGCTCGGCGATGATGAAGTAACCAAAAGAATATAAAGAAAAGGAAAAAATTGGCCAATACCTGGCCGACTCGTCCCTAGTATCACATCCATACGATCCCGGAAACAATTGTGGGACTAATTTCGGTTCCATTTCCCTTCTCGTGACTAAAGTTGCAAATGTTGCAAAGAAAATGATGACGTAGAAAAAAAACACAAAGAAAACAAAAACAGACCAACAATGAAACAACGAAAGGCTGCCCTGGAGGGGAGTGGGGAAAGTGATTGATTTGACTACGGCTCAAAACCAACAACAACTACAAAAAATTTTGACCAAGCTTGTGCGTCCACGGCCATAAAGACGCAAAAACAGAATGAAACCAAACAAGCTTGACCAATAAGGCATATATGATCAGACTGACTATTTTATCAGAGGCAGTGACATCGTCGTAGCTAGTTTTAAGTTAGCTGCCTCGAACCATCATACAATTAAGGGCTATTACCTCCTTCTCTGGACATCTCTGCGATCTTTATCGGGCCGCTTGTGAGAATATATTTGTTGGTACTTCCGTCGTGATCTAACTTGTCACCTGTCTCTCTTCTCTTTCTTTTTTTGCTGTTTAAACAACCTGCGCTGCATCTGTGGTGAAAAGAATTGTTCATTAGTTGATGACAATGGCCTAGGAAATAATTAAATGATTCCATAATACGCCTTCAACAGGCGATACTGGGCTGCAGTGGTGAAGGGGGTGAATATATAGCTAGTTCAAACTACCGTGTGGTACGACATTTTTGTGGGTTCTAATTTTTGCGATTTTTACCGCGATCCGCGAAAATATTTAAAGTTCCCGCAAATACAAATTACCGCAAAAATTTTTCCGGCAAAAATTTACTTCAGAGTAAATATTCTCTGATTTAAATTCACTATACAAAAATACAGTACTAAGAAATCGTGTCTGTTCAATTACAACTTGTGTCTTTCGTTCAGAAACAAAGCGGTTTACAACGAAATACTGGTTTTATTTACATAGGGTACGAACACCGTAGTACTGGGAACTTTCTTTAAATTCTCCATTTTATGTTTTCTCAGTGTCCAACCATAGCGAGAATTCTTGCAGGGGTTATCTGTCTTCCCATTATACCGGCTTAAGTACATAGGAAAAATAAAAGATCGATACCCCAAGTAATTCAACAGCATTTCTAGACCTCTTCACAACGTACCTGGAATTATAACTGTATCTGTAGCAGGCCAACAACTCGCAGTGAAAGTAAACCACATCATAATCGTTGAAGAACCTGAACGATCTCATTTTAAACTGTTGAGAGTTCGCTGTTGGATAGTACGTGTACTCCATAGTTGTATCTTGTGGGCACCTACAATAACGTAGCGCGCGAATGACGTCAAAGTGACCAACTTGCAATGTTTGTCTGAGTTTTGTCATTTTTCTCATTTTAATGACAAAAGTCAGACAAAAGTGAGGAATTCGCTAAAGTTAATTTCAGTTTGTTTGTCTGAGTTTCGAGTCTATATTTAGTAACTGCGCGCAGCGCTATAGGTTGTCACGGCGACACAAACATCATTAACAATTCAGTGGACGAGGTTGAGCATCGTGATTTGTCAGTGGCGAGTAGATAATTGATTATTAAGAGCAAATGTCTGTAAAAATCGAGCAAAATCGAAATTTCCCGGCCACAGTCAAAAAATCATTTTCGCTCATATCTTGTCCATAGATAGGCATAAGTAAGCAACTAAACGTGGTGTAGTTTGTTTTTCAAAAGGCCGCTTGGATTTGGAGAAAATCGACAAAATCAATTTTCGTGGTCGGCGACTTAAAAACAACAAAAATTTGAGGCAAAATGAGGTGGTCCCAAAACTTCGCTCGCTCGCACACGGGAATAAAGCGGAGTAAAATATTCCCCGATAAATCAATTTATAAAGGGTTCCACTTCTGGTTTGGTGATGAATTCTTATATTAACGATAATCTGGAAGATAAACAATGTTATTTCAGTTTGGATTCTTTTTCAACTAAACGAAATTTAAATTTAGGCAGAAAGTTGCCTTTTATATTTTAGGCATGTGCTACACCTTGGTTTTACCTGAAACTCAAGGCATATGTTATTTAAACATTGTGCTAAAACATATGTAAGAATTGGCCTGGGTAATTAAATTTGTACTTCACACGAACCTTCTGAAGTTGAATAAATTTTGCTTGAAATATGAGACTTTTCAAGAACGTCGGTTGGTTGTTGCTCGACAAGTCACGATGGCTGGGCTCTCCAAAAGACAATCGCACCTGTATTATTATTATTATTGTATTATTATTCTCACAATCGCTCTTGTATTAAAGACATTTGTACTGAAACGATAATTTTTGTTACCTTAAATGCGTTTTCCCGTTCTGGTTAACTGGCATTGCGCCTTGTCCCAAGCTAATCAACCAAAGATCCAAAAACTCGAGGAAACGTGGTGCGTGAAAATAACCTGAAACAGAACATTTCTTGGCATTGCTGGCCTTTCTTTTCCGCAGTCAAACTTTTACATCCATTGCCATTTAAAAATTCTAGGTCTCACAAAAACTGCGATTTTGATAGTGAAACTTTCGGGCTGCCGATACCTCTTTGGTCATAAAAGTCTGGTCAAAAGTGTTGCGTGACAGGATTCACAGGTTTCCCAATCTAACCGTTGGAGCGACACCTTTTTTTGATGTTCTTGCCAGAAGTAGCATATTATGCTACTAACAATCCAAATCATGTTTATTTTCTTTTTTTCCTAAGTTTTCTTAAAGTGTGCTTCCATACAATACTAAATAAGCCCAAAAATATCGTTTTTCACGTCAACTTCCCTCCGTTGCCTTGTGTGTGCCTTTGATTGAGTTCAGGCTTAAATCTCTAGCTATTTCACCGCGTTATTACCTATCAGGCGGCTGTCTTTCCTCTCGCATATGCAAGTTCCATTGTTTTGGATAAAAGTTTTTGTAAACATTCTGCAATTATCTTTCAGTATATATATTTTTTCTAATCTGAACAAGGTTATTCGATCGTCAAACTCTTGCTTCTGTTTGTATACAGAGGAACCCTGCCTTGCGACCACCCCGTTTATACGACCACCTCTTGCCTCAGCTCACCTCCCATAGTCTTTCCACCCAGACGTGAAAATCTCCGAGTCATTTTATTATTTTGAAGACCTCTTTAATGTGTCCACCTCGCTGTTATGACCTGGCTTTTATGGCCCAGTGTTGGTCGCATCAACGGGGTTCCACTGTATTTTTTAATTTCAGTTTTCCAGATTGTAGAACAAAAAACAACAACAACAAAAAATGTGCGTCGGCTGGACTATGGAAATTAATGTAAAGAACTAAAATTTAGGCCCCTCTTATATGAAGAAAATTTGTCTCCAGCAGAATGGTCATGCACCCGCCTACCCGAACTTTCCTGGAAGAGGCAGCGTTTCACGCATTTCTTAACAAAACATGGCGAACCGTTGAAATTACAAAAAGTTGGCTCGGCTAGAAGGATGACCCACCTTGTCCAGTCACCCTTTTGTAATGGTAGGGTCAGCCTCCAAGCCGGGCCAAAGTTTCTCTGTAGGCACTTTACGCGCTTTCCATTCAAAAAAATTCCTGTTTCAAATTTCCGAAAAACCACTTGCTCAGTGGAAGGTACATTCCAGTTGCACAGATCAAACCAAAGCCACCGCGAGTTTGGTTATCGTGCTTGTAAGCAGGATACAGATCAGTGGTCCTGGGAAAGATAATTTTGTAAAATGGAAGGGGACATTTCGGTCCGACCGGCAAATCCGTATCGGTAAAGGGCTCGCATAGCCAAGGAGCGGACAATTAGAGCATGCGCGAAGGCCGGTTGGGGTCAATGTTTTTCTCCCTCTCGGCTGGGAGGGTGATTCTCCAACACGAGACAGGTTTTCTCCATATAAAGGGAATTAAAATTGAAATTGTAATAGAGAAGGAATCAGAAAAAAAATTCAAAATTGTCGAAAAAATAGTATTGAAGCCCTCGTAATAATTATATGGCGCCGCAAAGAACTTAGTAATTTAGATAACCTAAAAGGGTTTCCAATGTATTTAGGAGGAAACTGTCGTTGGGTGCCCCTTTCAACTTTCGCCTACCGCTTGCACTACTTTCTTTACCCACATAGTTTTTTTTTTTCAGTTTTACTCTCGGGCATTTTGCCATTTTCTGAGTGTGCGCTTTGGTACCGGCCTTGAGACTGAGACTTGGTGGCTCGTCAGAAATTCATGGTCAGGACTCTTGAAAAGGAAGTCTCCAACCATAACTTTCTCTGGCAGTCATCAATGAAGCGGATATTGAGGCTGCATCCGCTTCTGGGCTTGTTCAATTCTCGAAAGTCCCGATAATTAACGGGCTCCTAAAGCTGTTGTTGTTTACATGCAAGATAGAAATTTCAATAGTTTTGCATCTAACATGATAAAAATATCCGTTAATGAAAAAAATAAGGTATTTTGCTGGCCACAACCCGCACTCCTCTTAATCCTTTTATTTCGATTTGAATATTTGATTTCGGGCCCGAAAAGCTATAGGGACTTTGGACAAACGGGCCCCTGGTCCGTTGTCTAAGGCCGCAAGACGGAATTTACCGGAAAAGTGAACTTAATGCTTTTGCCTAAACAGTGTCCTTTTAACGTGAATTTGAAGACGTCAGGGCCTAACCCACTGGTAAACACGTTTCATTCCAGCTTTCTAACCTGCTGTATCTGCGGTATATCATTTTAGTGTCAGATTTTAAAGCTTGTTTGAGTAGCCGAGCATGCTGTAAGGAGGAAATTGTCTGATATACTTTGACGTATCCTTTGGTAAAGGAATGAGAGAGGAACAGGTCAGCGTTCTAGACCCCAGGTTTCCTTCTTTGTATATATTCGATACTAGAAACTGAAACTCGAGCCTTAAGTCTTCACACTCAAGGAGAGGTTTGTAGACTTTAAAATAGCGCTACGTCATCTACCACTCCACAAGGCCGCCCTGCCTGGATAGCATTTCCCCAATCACTTTGCGATATTTTCTTAGTTGCGTGTGCTAATGTAAGTTTTTTCATGCTGGTTAGCCTGTGCAAGCATTTGAAAAAGGGGAGACAGGGTTTAGAGCGAATTGCTTGCCTAACATCCTTGACCAAGAGTTACAGCGTAACCCTTTCGACGGATTCTTCTATCCCCTCAACGACCTTTCCGCTGGGGTCTTACTAGGTAGTACCCAAGTAAGATTCAGAGCCACCCTTCCCCAAAATATGCATATGAAATAACATGATTTTTTTTATTGTGATTCTTCACTCAAGATAAAAAACGCTTCCGAGATCATTTATCGAGGTTGTCCAAAGTTTAAAACCCACTCAGTGTTCGTGTGTACTGGCAGGGTGTATGATTTTGATGTTTTCCAAATTCCTTAATAGTCAATGCTTTTTTCACACGCACAGGTGTCCGAAAAACTGACCACCACTTTACACTTTTAAATCAAGTACTGGTGGCAGCCACACTATGCAGGCTTTCAGTTGTTGTATAATTGAACAAATAACTTTGGAAACATCAAAGAAATGTATAAACAATTTTGTTTTAGACTGCTCATTCTTAAGTTCGAAGGATGGTGTTCGTTGTCACGCAACACCACTCCTTGTCTTCTCACACTTCCTCGCTGTATGTTGTAACTGATTCTAGGAATTGGTAAAAACATCTTTCAAATCGCCGAAAATGTCTTAAAAACATATTTTTCTCGTGATATATTTTGTTCAACCACCTTAAGAATTTAGATCATAACGCTCATTCGGTTTGAGTGACATTTTAATAACCTGGCCCATCTCCAATGACTCTCGTTAGAGGTCAAATTACAAAATGCGTTAGTGCCAGCAGAGTTTTATAGCTCGAGAGTAGAAAAAGTCAAAAAAGGGCCCAAACTATAAAGGTAACTTAATTTCTATTGCGTGTTAGCAAATTAATTATCGTACCATAGAAGTACATCAGGTTTCTTCTCAGGAAATGCCTATGATCCCTTTTGGCAACAGCAAGGCGTTGGTGAATTATGCAAATGTTTCATATTTCACTCAAAATTTGTTCAAGTTCAGAAGGTTCGTCTGAAGCCCAATTTAAATTACCCAAGCCAGTTCTTACATATGTTTTAGTACAATGTTTAACTAACATATAGCTTGAGTTTCAGGAAAAACCAAGGAGTAGCACATGCCTGAAAATTAAATCGCGACTTTAGGTCTAAATTTAAACTTCGTTGACTTGAAAAAGAACCAAAACTAAAATAAAATTGTTTACCTTCCACATTATCGTTAAGTTAAGAATTAACCGCCATTCTAGGGCTAAAACCCTTTACAAATTGATTTAT